ACTGTGTGTGTGTGTAACTGTGTGTGTACACTGTGTTGTGTAACTATGTGTGTGTATGTGTAACTGTGTGTGTATGTAGATTGTGGGTTTGTGTAACTGTGTGTGTGTAACTGTGTGTGTGTATACACTATGTATGTATACACTATGTATGTGTGTGTGTGTAACTGTGTGTGTGTGTGTATGTAGATTGTGGGTGTGTGTAACTGTGTGTGTGTGTGTGTATAACTGTGTGTATATGTAGATTGTGGGTGTGTGTAACTGTGTGTGTGTATACACTATGTATGTGTGTATACACTATGTGTGTGTGTGTAACTGTGTGTGTGTATGTAGATTGTGGGTGTGTGTAACTGTGTGTGTATACACTATGTATGTGTGTGTACACTATGTGTGTGTGTACACTATATGTGTGTGTACACTATGTGTGTGTGTGTAACTGTGTGTGTATGTAGATTGTGGGTGTGTGTAACTGTGTGTGTGTATACACTATGTATGTGTGTATACACTATGTATGTGTGTGTAACTGTGTGTATACACTGTGTGTGTGTAACTGTGTGTGTACACTGTGTTGTGTAACTATGTGTGTGTATGTGTAACTGTGTGTGTATGTAGATTGTGGGTTTGTGTAACTGTGTGTGTGTAACTGTGTGTGTGTATACACTATGTATGTATACACTATGTATGTGTGTGTGTGTAACTGTGTGTGTGTGTGTATGTAGATTGTGGGTGTGTGTAACTGTGTGTGTGTGTGTATAACTGTGTGTATATGTAGATTGTGGGTGTGTGTAACTGTGTGTGTGTATACACTATGTATGTGTGTATACACTATGTGTGTGTGTGTAACTGTGTGTGTGTATGTAGAATGTGGGTGTGTGTAACTGTGTGTGTATACACTATGTATGTGTGTGTACACTATGTATGTGTGTGTACACTATGTATGTGTGTGTAACTGTTTGTGTATGTAGATTGTGGGTGTGTGTAACTGTGTGTGTATACACTATGTATGTGTGTATACACTATGTATGTGTGTGTAACTGTGTGTGTATGTAGATTGTGGGTGTGTGTAACTGTGTGTGTGTGTGTAGATTGTGTGTGTGTGTGTAACTGTGTAACTGTGTGTGTGTAACTGTGTGTAACTGTGTGTGTATGTAGATTGTGGGTGTGTGTAACAGTGTGTGTGTGTAACAGTGTGTCTGTAACTGTGTGTAACTGTGTGTGTATGTAGATTGTGGGTGTGTGTAACAGTGTGTGTGTAACTGTGTGTGTGTGTATACACTGTGTGTATACACTGTGTGTGTGTGTGTTTACACTGTGTGTGTGTATACACTGTGTGTGTAACTGTGTGTGTGTGTAGATTGTGGGTGTGTGTAACAGTGTGTGTGTGTAACTGTGTGTGTGTGTTTAACAGTGTGTGTAACTGTGTGTGTGTGTAGATTGTGGGTGTGTGTAACAGTGTGTGTGTGTAACTGTGTGTGTGTGTTTAACAGTGTGTGTGTGTAACTGTGTGTGTGTGTAGATTGTGGGTGTGTGTAACTGTGTGTGTGTGTGTGTATACACTGTGTGTGTGTGTATGCACTGTGCGTGTGTTTACACTGTGTGTGTATACACTGTGTGTGTGTGTAACTGTGTGTGTGTGTAACTGTGTGTATACACTATGTATATGTGTGTGTAACTGTGTGTATACACTGTGTGTGTGTGTACACTGTGTGTGTACACTGTGTTGTGTAACTATGTGTGTGTATGTGTAACTGTGTGTGTATGTAGATTGTGGGTTTGTGTAACTGTGTGTGTGTAACTGTGTGTGTGTATACACTATGTATGTATACACTATGTATGTGTGTGTGTGTAACTGTGTGTGTGTGTATGTAGATTGTGGGTGTGTGTAACTGTGTGTGTGTGTGTATAACTGTGTGTATATGTAGATTGTGGGTGTGTGTAACTGTGTGTGTGTATACACTATGTATGTGTGTATACACTATGTGTGTGTGTGTAACTGTGTGTGTGTATGTAGATTGTGGGTGTGTGTAACTGTGTGTGTATACACTATGTATGTGTGTGTACACTATGTATGTGTGTGTACACTATGTATGTGTGTGTAACTGTGTGTGTATGTAGATTGTGGGTGTGTGTAACTGTGTGTGTATACACTATGTATGTGTGTATACACTATGTATGTGTGTGTAACTGTGTGTGTATGTAGATTGTGGGTGTGTGTAACTGTGTGTGTGTGTAGATTGTGTGTGTGTGTGTAACTGTGTAACTGTGTGTGTGTAACTGTGTGTAACTGTGTGTAACTGTGTGTGTATGTAGATTGTGGGTGTGTGTAACAGTGTGTGTGTGTAACAGTGTGTCTGTAACTGTGTGTAACTGTGTGTGTATGTAGATTGTGGGTGTGTGTAACAGTGTGTGTGTAACTGTGTGTGTGTGTGTATACACTGTGTATACACTGTGTGTGTGTGTGTGTGTATACACTGTGCGTGTGTTTACACTGTGTGTGTGTATACACTGTGTGTGTGTGTAGATTGTGGGTGTGTGTAACAGTGTGTGTGTGTAACTGTGTGTGTGTGTTTAACAGTGTGTGTAACTGTGTGTGTGTGTAGATTGTGGGTGTGTGTAACAGTGTGTGTGTGTAACTGTGTGTGTGTGTTTAACAGTGTGTGTGTGTAACTGTGTGTGTGTGTAGATTGTGGGTGTGTGTAACTGTGTGTGTGTGTGTGTATACACTGTGTGTGTGTGTATGCACTGTGCGTGTGTTTACACTGTGTGTGTATACACTGTGTGTGTGTGTAACTGTGTGTGTGTGTAACTGTGTGTATACACTATGTATATGTGTGTGTAACTGTGTGTATACACTGTGTGTGTGTGTACACTGTGTGTGTACACTGTGTTGTGTAACTATGTGTGTGTATGTGTAACTGTGTGTGTATGTAGATTGTGGGTTTGTGTAACTGTGTGTGTGTAACTGTGTGTGTGTATACACTATGTATGTATACACTATGTATGTGTGTGTGTGTAACTGTGTGTGTGTGTATGTAGATTGTGGGTGTGTGTAACTGTGTGTGTGTGTGTATAACTGTGTGTATATGTAGATTGTGGGTGTGTGTAACTGTGTGTGTGTATACACTATGTATGTGTGTATACACTATGTGTGTGTGTGTAACTGTGTGTGTGTATGTAGATTGTGGGTGTGTGTAACTGTGTGTGTATACACTATGTATGTGTGCGTGTATACACTATGTGTGCGTGTACACTATATGTGTGTGTACACTATGTGTGTGTGTGTAACTGTGTGTGTATGTAGATTGTGGGTGTGTGTAACTGTGTGTGTGTATACACTATGTATGTGTGTATATACTATGTATGTGTGTGTAACTGTGTGTGTATGTAGATTGTGGGTGTGTGTAACTGTGTGTGTGTGTGTAGATTGTGGGTGTGTGTAACTGTGTGTAACTGTGTGTGTATGTAGATTGTGGGTGTGTGTAACAGTGTGTGTGTGTAACAGTGTGTCTGTAACTGTGTGTAACTGTGTGTGTATGTAGATTGTGGGTGTGTGTAACAGTGTGTGTGTAACTGTGTGTGTGTGTGTGTATATACACTGTGTGTGTGTGTATGCACTGTGCGTGTGTTTACACTGTGTGTGTGTATACACTGTGTGTGTGTAACTGTGTGTGTGTGTAACTGTGTGTATACACTATGTATATGTGTGTGTAACTGTGTGTATACACTGTGTGTGTGTGTAACTGTGTGTGTACACTGTGTTGTGTAACTATGTGTGTGTATGTGTAACTGTGTGTGTATGTAGATTGTGGGTTTGTGTAACTGTGTGTGTGTAACTGTGTGTGTGTATACACTATGTATGTATACACTATGTATGTGTGTGTGTGTAACTGTGTGTGTGTGTGTATGTAGATTGTGGGTGTGTGTAACTGTGTGTGTGTGTGTGTATAACTGTGTGTATATGTAGATTGTGGGTGTGTGTAACTGTGTGTGTGTATACACTATGTATGTGTGTATACACTATGTGTGTGTGTGTAACTGTGTGTGTGTATGTAGATTGTGGGTGTGTGTAACTGTGTGTGTATACACTATGTATGTGTGTGTACACTATGTATGTGTGTGTACACTATGTATGTGTGTGTACACTATGTATGTGTGTGTAACTGTGTGTGTATATAGATTGTGGGTGTGTGTAACTGTGTGTGTATACACTATGTATGTGTGTATACACTATGTATGTGTGTGTAACTGTGTGTGTATGTAGATTGTGGGTGTGTGTAACTGTGTGTGTGTGTGTAGATTGTGTGTGTGTGTAACTGTGTAACTGTGTGTGTGTAACTGTGTGTAACTGTGTGTAACTGTGTGTGTATGTAGATTGTGGGTGTGTGTAACAGTGTGTGTGTGTAACAGTGTGTCTGTAACTGTGTGTAACTGTGTGTGTATGTAGATTGTGGGTGTGTGTAACAGTGTGTGTGTAACTGTGTGTGTGTGTGTGTATACACTGTGTGTATACACTGTGTGTGTGTGTGTATACACTGTGCGTGTGTTTACACTGTGTGTGTGTATACACTGTGTGTGTAACTGTGTGTGTGTGTAGATTGTGGGTGTGTGTAACAGTGTGTGTGTGTAACTGTGTGTGTGTGTTTAACAGTGTGTGTGTGTAACTGTGTGTGTGTGTGTAGATTGTGGGTGTGTGTAACAGTGTGTGTGTGTAACTGTGTAACTGTGTGTGTGTAGATTGTGGGTGTGTGTAACAGTGTGTGTATGTGTAAATGTGTGTGTGTGTAGATTGTGGGTGTATGTAACAGTGTGTGTGTGTGTAAGTGTGTGTGTGTAGATTGTGGGTGTGTGTGTAACTGTGTATGTGTGTAGATTGTGGGTGTGTGTAACTGTGTGTGTGTATACACTGTGTGTGTGTGTGTAACTGTGTGTGTGTAGATTGTGGGTGTGTAACAGTGTGTGTGTAACTGTGTGTGTGTAGATTGTGGGTGTGTGTAACTGTGTGTGTGTGTGTAACTGTGTGTATGTAGATTGTGGGTGTGTGTAACGAGGAGCTGCAGGCTGCCCAGCAGTGGAACGGCCCTGGGGTCATCGACATCCTCAAGTCTGTGCCTGGGTACGTCACACACACACTTACACACACGTACACACTTACACACTTACACACACGTACACACTTACACACACACACACTTACACACACGTACACACACACACACACTTACATACACTTACACACACACACTTGCACACACGCACACACTTACACACTTACACACACACACGTACACACACGTACACACGTACACACTTACACACGTACACACACGTACACACTTACACACACGTACACACTTACACACACACACACACGTACACACTTACACACACACGTACACACTTACACACACACACGTCTACACACACAGTGTACACACACACACAGTATACACACACACAGTATACACACACACAAGTAAACACACGTACACACTTACACACACTTACACACACACACACACGTCTACACACACACAGTGTACACACACACACGTACACACACACGTACACACACGTACGCACACACACACATGCGTACACACTTACACACACACATGTCTACACACACACAGTGCACACACTTACACACACACATGTACACACTTACACACACTTACACACACACGTCTACACACACAGTATACACACACACAAGTACACACATACACGTGTACACACGTGTATGCACAGGTGCAGCAGGAGGTTACGGGACAGACCCTGCAAGTGCCATAGGTTGTACTGCTGTGCCAGGCTAGGTGCACGAGGAGGAGGTCACGTGACAGACCCTGCAGGTGACACGGGTTGTGCCGCTGTGCCAGGCTAGGTGCACGAGGTCACGTGACAGACCCTGCAGGTGACATGGGTTGTACTGTTGTGCCAGGCTAGGTGCACGAGGAGGAGGTCACGTGACAGACCCTGCCGGTGACACGGGTTGTGCCGCTGTGCCAGGCTAGGTGCACGAGGAGGAGGTCACGTGACAGACCCTGCCGGTGACACGGGTTGTGCCGCTGTGCCAGGCTAGGTGCACGAGGAGGAGGTCACGTGACAGACCCTGCCGGTGACACGGGCTGTACCTCTGCGCGTGTTGTGCAGGGCGGGGGGCCCGTGGCTCATCACCGACATGAGGAGGGGGGAGTCCGTGTTTGAGATCGACCCCCAGCTCCAGGTGACCGCCGATCTCCATGGGGGTCACGCCGGTGACGCCCCTCCTCCGCCCCCCCCCCCTCCACCGCCAAGTGCCGGAGAAACCCGGCGAGCCGCGAAGCTCTTCGCGTGGTACCCCCGCGGGGAGCTTGCCGGTGGGGGGGGGGGGGGGGGGGGGGGGGACGGGTCGCTGGTTTCCCCAGGCCGGGGACGACCCCCCGGGGTCACCCGATCAGCGGTGGCGGTGGGGGGGGGGGGGGGGGGGCCCTGTGGCGTGTGATGTCGTGGAACGTCCCAGGTTTATCGTTTCAAAAAAAACAACCCCCGCATGAGAAATACTAAAAAAACGCGGAACCCTTTTGATTGAGATATATATTTACTTACGGCAAGGCGATTGTAAATTTTTTTATTTATTTTTTACTTCCCCCCGCTCGTCGCGCAGCCTGCCCAATGCGCCAAATCGCTAAGCTGAAACCACCCGGTCGTTGGGCAGAGCTGTTGAGGAGGCGGCGAACGAGCGAGAGAGCGAGAGAGCGAGAGAGAGAGAGGGAGAGCTCTCTCCGCTGAAGTGCAGCGTCGCCGAGGAGTCGGGATTGACGGCTTGGTGGCTCGTTCGTGTGGCGCCTCTCTCTCTCTCTCTCGTGCGGCGAGGTTTCACCCGGCGCTGCAGCTGTGACCCCCCCCCCCCCCGCCCCCCCCGCGCTGCGAACCCGGCGCCCCCCCCGAGTTTGATTCCCGCTCACGGCCAACGCCGTCGGTGGCGATTTTACCCGAACAAACCGGCGCTGGGTCTCGGTAGGTTGGCGGGTCGGCGGGTCGCTGGGTTAGCGGGTCAGAGGGTTAGCAGGTCAGAGTGTTAGCGGGTCAGAGGGTTAGTGGGTTAGCGGGTCAGCGGGTTAGTGGGTTAGTGGGTCAGCGGGTCAGAGGGTTAGCGGGTCAGCGGGTTAGCGGGTTAGTGGGTTAGGTCAGCGGGTTAGCGGGTCGGTGCCGACCACCCCGTTAGCTTCGGCCCAACGACCCCGTTGACCCCGCCCCAAAACGACCCCGTTGGCCCCGCCCCAAAACGACCCCGTTGACCCCACCCCAACGACCCCGTTGACCCCGCCCCAAAACGACCCCGTTGACCCCGCCCCAACAACCCCGTTGACCCCGCCCCAAAACGACCCCGTTGACCCCGCCCCAAAACGACCCCGTTGACCCCGCCCCAATGACCCCGTTGACCCCGGCCCCAACAACCCCGTTGACACCGCTGACGCCATGGTGACCCACTGGCCTGGCGACTCGCTGGCCCGATGGCACGCGGGCCTGGTGACCCGCTGACCCCACTGATCTAACCCACCCACCCGCTAACCTGCTGACCCACTGACCTACCGACCTGCTAACCCGCTCACCTCACCCGCTGACCTGCTAACCCGCTGACCTGCTAACCCGCTGACCTGCTAACCCGCTGACCTGCTAACCCGGTCACCTGCTCACCCACCGACCTGCTAGCCCGCTGACCTGCTCACCCACCGACCCGCTGACCTGCTAACCCGCTGACCTGCTCACCCACCGACCCGCTGACCTGCTAACCCACCGACCTGCTGACCCGCTAACCTACCGACCCGCTAACCCACCGACCTGCTGACCCGCTTACCTACCGACCTGCTAACCCACTGACCCGATAACCTACCGACCCGCTGACCCACTGACCTGCTGACCCACTGACCCACGGTGCTAGGAGCGCGTGGACGTGGGAGTGGAGCGGGAGGGCTCCAACCTCAGCGGCGTCAGCGGCCGCCTCGCCTGGGCCAGCGGCGCCCCCGGCAACGGCCGTCGCCGTGGTGACCGCAACGGCCGTCACCAAGGAGATCGCCCCGGCAACGGCCATCGCCAAGGAGACCGCGCCGGCGGGGAGGGGCCACGGGGCCCTCGCACCCTGTCCCACAGAGGTCAGGGGTCGTGGTGTGTGTGCGTGTAGTGTGTAGTGTGGTGTGTGTGGTGTATGTGTGTGTGGTGTATGTGTGTGTGTAGTGTGTGTGTAGTGTGGTGTGTGTGTGTAGTGTGGTGTGTGTAGTGTGGCGTGTGTAGTGTGGTGTGATGTGTGTGTGTGTGTAGTGTGGTGTGTGTGTGTAGTGTGGTGTGTGTAGTGTGTGTAGTGTGTGTGTGTAGTGTGTGTGTAGTGTGGTGTGTGTGTGTTTAGTGTGGTGTGTGCGGTGGGTGTGTGTAGTGTGGTGTGTGTGTGTAGTATGGTGTGTGTGTGTGGTGTTTGTGTGGTGTGTGCGGTGGGTTTGTGCGGGCGGTGTGTGCGGTGTGTGTAGTGTGGTGTGTGTGTGTGGAGTGTAGTGTGTGTGTGTGGAGTGTGTGTGCCTGTCTGTGTAGTGCGAAACGTGGACCCCCCTAATGGAACATCTTCGCCGGTTAGAAACATTTAGGCTGGCCTGCCTACGATCCATCCTGGGTTTAACCAGGCTGGATTGTGTGAGGAGCTCACAAATCCTTGAAAGATCTGGGCAGGGTCCCATCGGTGAGCTCCTCCGGCAGGCAAGGCTGCGATGGCTGGGTCATGTAGCCCGCATGCTCAGCCACCGCATGCCGAAACAGCTTTTGTTCGGCCGGATTGAGGGGGCAAAGCGGGCGCGGCACGGGCTAGAGAAGAGATGGAGTGATGTGGTGCAGGAGGACGTGGAGCTGAGTGGACTTGTCGATGACTGGTACCAGCGGTGTCAAGATCGGCCTCTGTGGAGGAGGCTCGTGAAGGACGCTACTGGGCAGTTGGAGGCAGTCGCCCTCCAACAACAACGGAGGGCGGAGGAGCGACGCTCACAACAACGAGCGGAGCGCCGGGTGGCTAAAGCACAGCAGGTTGGCACAGTAGGGGGCACAGGTGGTGCATCAGCCAGTCATCTCAGTCATTCGACCCGTGGCACCTGGATCTGCCCCGTGACCTCCTGCCAGCGGGCGTTCGACACTTCACGTGGCCTCAGGGTGCACATAGCCTGGCACAAGCGTCGTGGTGACGTCACCGCCACTTAGTGGCGAATGGCGGTTGTTGTTGTGTGTAGTCTGTGTCTGTGTGTAGTGTGTGTGTAGTGTGTGTCTGTGTGTCTGTGTGTTGTGTGTCTGTGTGGTGTGTGTTTTGTGTGTGTCTGTGTGTTGTGTGTGTCTGTGTGTAGTGTGTGTGTAGTGTGTGTGTGTAGATTTGTGGGTATGTGTGTAGTGTTTCTGTGTGGTGTGTTGTGTGTGTCTGTGTGTAGTCTATGTCTGTGTGTTGTGTGTGTTGTGTGTGTCTGTGTGTAGTCTGTGTGTGTGTAGTGTGTGTAGTGTGTGTCTGTGTGTAGTGTGTGTGTGTAGATTTGTGGGTATGTGTGGTACGCTGCTGAGGGGTTGTGGTGGTTGCTGAGGGGTTGCGGTGGTTGCGGTGGTTGCTGAGGGGTTGCTGAGGGGTTGCGGTGGTTGCTGAGGGGTTGTGGTGGTTGCTGAGGGGTTGCGGTGGTTGCTGAGGGGTTGCGGTGGTTGCTGAGGGGTTGCGGTGGTTGCTGAGGGGTTGTGGTGGTTGCTGAGGGGTTGTGGTGGTTGCTGAGGGGTTGTGGTGGTTGCTGAGGGGTTGCGGTGGTTGCTGAGGGGTTGCGGTGGTTGCTGAGGGGTTGCGGTGGTTGCTGAGGGGTTGCGGTGGTTGCTGAGGGGTTGCGGTGGTTGCTGAGGGGTTGTGGTGGTTGCTGAGGGGTTGTGGTGGTTGCTGAGGGGTTGTGGTGGTTGCTGAGGGGTTGCGGTGGTTGCTGAGGGGTTGCGGTGGTTGCTGAGGGGTTGTGGTGGTTGCTGAGGGGTTGTGGTGGTTGCTGAGGGGTTGCGGTGGTTGCTGAGGGGTTGTGGTGGTTGCTGAGGGGTTGTGGTGGTTGCTGAGGGGTTGCGGTGGTTGCTGAGGGGTTGCGGTGGTTGCTGAGGGGTTGTGGTGGTTGCTGAGGGGTTGTGGTGGTTGCTGAGGGGTTGTGGTGGTTGCTGAGGGGTTGTGGTGGTTGCTGAGGTTTTGTGGTGGTTGCTGAGGGGTTGTGGTGGTTGCTGAGGGGTTGCGGTGGTTGCTGAGGGGTTGTGGTGGTTGCGGTGGTTGCAGACTCAGCTGGGATCCGCGCTGCGCTCAGAAGGGGACTTGGAGCCACGGGGGTCAGGGGAGGGGGAGCGCTGATCCCTGCAACAACCATCGCTTACAACCACCACCACCACCAGCAGCAGCTACAACCACACAGCAACACCACCAACCACGATCGGACAGGGTAACCACCACCACAACCATCACAACCACCACAACCATCACAACAACCACCACAACCATCGCTTACAACCACCACCACCAGCAGCAGCTACAACCACACAGCAACACCACCAACCACGATCGGACAGGGTAACCACCACCACAACCATCACAACCACCACAACCATCACAACAACCACCACAACCATCGCTTACAACCACCACCACCAGCAGCAGCTACAACCACACAGCAACACCACCAACCACGATCGGACAGGGTAACCACCACCACAACCATCACAACCACCACAACCATCACAACAACCACCACAACCATCGCTTACAACCACCACCACCACCAGCAGCTACAACCACACAGCAACACCACCAACCACGATCGGACGGGGTAACCACCACCACCACAACCATCACAACCATCACCACCACAACCATTGCTTACAACCACCACCAGCTACAACCACACAGCAACACCACCAACCACGATCGGACAGGGTAACCACCACCACAACCACCACCACCACCACCAGCAGCTACAACCACACAGCAACACCACCAACCACGATCGGACAGGGTAACCACCACCACCACAACCACCACCAGCAGCTACAATCACACAGCAACACCACCAACCACGATCGGACAGGGTAACCACCACCACAACCACCACCACCAGCAGCTACAACCACACAGCAACACCACCAACCACGATCGGACAGGGTAACCACCACCACCACAACCACCACCACCACCAGCAGCTACAACCACACAGCAACACCACCAACCACGATCGGACAGGGTAACCACACACCACAACCATCGCAACCACCACAACCATCACAACCACCATCATCACAACCACCACCACAACCATCACAACCACCACAACCATCACAACCACCATCATCACAACCACCACCACCACAACCATCACAACCACCACCACCAGCAGCTACAACCACACAGCAACACCACCAACCACGATCGGACGGGGTAACCACCACCACCACAACCATCACAACCACCACAACCACCATCACCACCACAACCATCACCACCATCACAACCACCATCATCACAACCACCACCACCACAACCATCACAACCACCACCACCAGCAGCTACAACCACACAGCAACACCACCAACCACGATCGGACAGGGTAACCACCACCACCACAACCATCACAACCACCACAACCATCACAACCACCACAACCATCACAACCACCACCATCACAACCACCACCACAACCATCACAACCACCACCACCAGCTACAACCACACAGCAACACCACCAACCACGATCGGACAGGGTAACCACAACCATCACAACCATCACCACCATCACAACCATCACAACCACCACAACCATCACAACCACCACCACCACAACCATCACAACCACCACCACAACCATCACAGCCACCACCACAACCATCACAACCACCACAACTATCACCACCACAACCATCACAACAACCACAACCACCAAAACCATCACAACCACCACCAGCTACAACCACACAGCAACACCACCACAACCACCACCACCACAACCATCACCACAACCACCATCACAACCACCACCATCACAACCACCACCACAACCATCACCACCACCACAACCATCACCACCATCACAACCATCACCACCACCACCAGCTACAACCACACAGCAACACCACCAACCACGATCGGACAGGGTAACTACCACCACAACCACCACAACCATCACAACCACCACCACAACCACCATCACCACAACCACCACCAGCTACAACCACACAGCAACACCACCACAACCACCATCACAACCACCATCACAACCATCACCACAACCATCACAACCATCACAACCATCACCACCACCACAACCATCACCACAACCATCACCACCACCAGCTACAACCACACAGCAACACCACCAACCACGATCGGACAGGGTAACCACCACCACCACCATCACAACCACCACAACCACCACAACCACCACCAGCTACAACCACACACCAACACCACCAACCACGATCAGACAGGGTAACTACCACCACCACAACCACCACAACCATCACCACCACCACAACCATCACAACCATCACAACCATCACCACAACCATCACCATCACAACCACCACCACAACCATCACAACCACCACCACAACCATCACAACCACCACCACAACCATCACAACCATCATCATCACAACCACCACCATAGCCATCACCATCACCACAACCACCACCACAACCATCACAACGGTGATGACGATGGTGATGACGATGGTGATGACGATGGTGATGACGATGGTGATGACGATGACGATGATGATGACGACGATGGTGATGACGATGGTGATGACGATGATGATGACGACGATGGTGATGACGATGGTGATGACGATGGTGATGACGATGGTGATGACGATGGTGATGACGATGGTGATGACAACGATGATGAATGATGGTGATGACGATGATGATGATGATGGTGATGACGACGATGATGAATGATGGTGATGACGATGATGGTGATGACGATGATGATGAATGATGGTGATGACGATGACGATGAATAATGGTGATGACGATGATGATGAATGATGGTGATGACGATGATGATGACGATGATGATGAATGATGGTGATGACGATGATGGTGATGACGATGATGATGAATGATGGTGATGACGATGATGATGAATGATGGTGATGACGATGATGATGACGATGATGATGAATGATGGTGATGACGATGATGATGAATGATGGTGATGACGATGATGATGACGATGATGATGAATGATGGTGATGACGATGACGATGAATGATGGTGATGATGATGAATGATGATGATGGCGATGATGATGAATGATGGTGATGACGATGATGATGAATGATGGTGATGACGATGATGATGACGATGATGATGACGATGATGATGAATGATGGTGATGACGATGATGATGAATGATGGTGATGACGATGATGGTGATGACGATGATGATGAATGATGGTGATGACGATGATGATGAATGATGGTGATGACGATGATGATGACGATGATGATGAATGATGGTGATGACGATGATGATGACGATGATGATGACGATGATGATGAATGATGGTGATGACGATGACGATGAATGATGGTGATGAATGATGATGATGGCGATGATGATGAATGATGGTGATGACGATGATGGCGACGGTGATGATGATGATGAATGATGGTGATGACGATGGCGATGATGACGATGGCGATGATGATGACGATAATGGTGGCGATGATGATGGCGACGGTGATGACGATGATGGCGACGATGACGATGGTGGCGATGACGATGATGAATGATGGCGATGATGATGATGACGATGTTGATGGCGACGATGATGATGATGATGGCGACGATGATGATGATGATGATGGCGACGATGACGATGTTGATGGTGCAGCGTGAAGATGATGATGGCGACGGTGATGATGATGGCGATGATGATGACGACGATGTTGATGGTCATGACGACGATGATGGCGATGATGATGATGATGAATGATGATGACGATGGCGATGATGATGATGATGGCAATGATGATGATGATGGCAATGATGATGATGATGGCGACGATGTTGATGGCGATGACGACGACGTTGATGGTGCAGCGTGAAGATGGAGCCACGTGACGATGGCGACGACGATGGCGACGAGGAGGAGGATGAGGAGGAGGATGAGGATGAGGAGGAGGGGGGTGTGGGGGGTGCCCCTCCCCCCACGGGCCCCGTGCCCCCTGAACTGGTGCCACCTCGTCGTGTCCACCAGCTCCACCTCCTCCTCAACCTGGAGTCGGCCTCCCTGCTGCCACTCGCGCTCAGGCACGGTGGGGGGGGTGGGTGGGTGAGTGGGTGGGTGGGGTGGGTGGGTTGGTGGGGGGGGTGGGTGGGTGTGGGTGAGGTGGGTTGGTGGGTGGGTGGGTTAGTGAGTGAGTGGGTGAGTGAGCGGGCGAGCGAGTGAGTTGGTGAGTGAGTGGGTGAGTGAGTGAGTGGGTGAGTGGGTGAGTGAGCGGGCGAGCGAGTGGGTGGGTGAGTGAGTGGGTGGGTGAGTGGGTGGGTGGGTGAGTGGGTGGGTGAGTGGGTGGGTGGGTGGGTGAGTGGGTGGGTGAGTGGGTGGGTGGGTGGGTGAGTGAGTGGGTGGGTGGGTGAGTGAGTGAGTGAGTTGGTGAGTGAGTGAGTGGGTGAGTGAGTGAGTGAGTTGGTGAGTGAGTGAGTGGGTGTGTGTGTGTGTGAGTGAGTGAGTGGGTGAGTTGGTGAGTGAGTGAGTTGGTGAGTGAGTTGGTGAGTGAGTGAGTGTGAGTGAGTTGGTGAGTGAGTGTGAGTGAGTTGGTGAGTGAGTTGGTGAGTTGGTGAGTGAGTGAGTGTGAGTGAGTGTGAGTGAGTGGGTGGGTGAGCGAGTTGGTGAGTGAGTGAGTGGGTGAGCGAGTGAGTTGGTGAGTGAGTGGGTGGGTGAGTTGGTGAGTGAGTGAGTTGGTGAGTTGGTGAGTGAGTGAGTGGGTGGGTGAGTGAGTGAGTGGGTGAGTGAGTGAGTGGGTGAGTTGGTGAGTGAGTGAGTGGGTGTGTGTGAGTGAGTGAGTGGGTGGGTGAGTTGGGGAGTGAGTGAGTTGGTGAGTGAGTTGGTGAGTGAGTGAGTGTGAGTGAGTTGGTGAGTGAGTGTGAGTGAGTTGGTGAGTGAGTGTGAGTGAGTGGGTGGGTGAGCGAGTTGGTGAGTGAGTGAGTGGGTGAGCGAGTGAGTTGGTGAGTGAGTGGGTGGGTGAGTTGGTGAGTGAGTGAGTTGGTGAGTTGGTGAGTGAGTGAGTGAGTGTGTGAGTGAGTGAGTGGGTGAGTTGGTGAGTGAGTTGGTGTGTGAGTGAGTGGGTGGGTGAGTGAGTGAGTGTGTGAGTGAGTGAGTGAGTTGGTGAGTGGGTGAGTGGGTGAGTGAGTGGGTGAGTGAGTGAGTTGGTGAGTTGGTGAGTGAGTGTGAGTGAGTTGGTGGGTGAGTGAGTGGGTGAGTGGGTGAGTGAGTGGGTGAGTGGGTGAGCGAGTGTCACGCTGGCCGTGTTCCCCGCGTGCAGGGGGCGGCTGCGCCACGGACGACACTTCACCTTCAAGGACGTGACGGGGGACGCTGCGGTCACGCTCGTCAGCCCCGGGGTGGAGGGAGCTGTCGTCAGCCCCCTCTGCCCCTACGCCTCCCAGGGGCCTTGGCTGCAGGTACGCTGGGGGGGGGGGGGGGGGGGAGACAAAGGCGGTCGGGCGTGGTGGTGGTGGTGGTGGTGCTGACCACGCACCCACTCACCTACTCAGTGAGTGAGTAGGTGAGTGGGTGAGTGACCTGTGTGTGTGTGTGTGACTTGTGTGTGTGTGTGTGTGACTTGTGTGTGTGACCTGTGTGAGTGTGTGACCTGTGTGTGTGTGTGTGTGACTTGTGTGTGTGTGTGTGTGACTTGTGTGTGTGTGTGACCTGTGTGTGTGTGTGACCTGTGTGTGTGTGTGTGTGTGACTTGTGTGTGTGTGTGTGTGTGACTTGTGTGTGTGTGTGACCTGTGTGTGTGTGACCTGTGTGTGTGTGTGTGACCTGTGTGTGTGTGTGACCTGTGTGTGTGTGTGTGTGACCTGTGTGTGTGTGTGACCTGTGTGTGTGTGTGTGTGACCTGTGTGTGTGTGTGTGTGACCTGTGTGTGTGTGTGACCTGTGTGTGTGTGTGTGTGACTTGTGTGTGTGTGTGTGTGACTTGTGTGTGTGTGTGACCTGTGTGTGTGTGACCTGTGTGTGTGTGTGTGTGACCTGTGTGTGTGTGTGACCTGTGTGTGTGTGTGTGTGTGTGACCTGTGTGTGTGTGTGTGTGACCTGTGTGTGTGTGTGTGTGACCTGTGTGTGTGTGTGTGTGACCTGTGTGTGTGTGACCTGTGTGTGTGTGACACTGACACTGTGTGTGTGTGTGTGTGACCTGTGTGTGTGTGACCTGTGTGTGTGTGTGACCTGTGTGTGTGTGACCTGTGTGTGTGTGACCTGTGTGTGTGTGACCTGTGTGTGTGTGACCTCTGTGTGTGTGTGACCTGTGTGTGTGTGACCTGTGTGTGTGTGACACTGTGTGTGTGTGTGACACTGTGTGTGTGTGTGACTTGTGTGTGTGTGTGTGTGACTTGTGTGTGTGTGTGACTTGTGTGTGTGTGACCTGTGTGTGTGTGTGACCTGTGTGTGTGTGACCTGTGTGTGTGTGACCTGTGTGTGTGACTTGTGTGTGTGTGACCTGTGTGTGTGTGACCTGTGTGTGTGTGACTTGTGTGTGTGTGTGACCTGTGTGTGTGTGACCTGTGTGTGTGACTTGTGTGTGTGTGACCTGTGTGTGTGTGACCTGTGTGTGTGTGACCTGTGGACCTGTGTGTGTGACTTGTGTGTGTGTGTGACCTGTGTGTGTGACCTGTGTGTGTGACCTGTGTGTGTGTGACCTGTGTGTGTGTGACTTGTGTGTGTGTGACCTGTGTGTGTGTGACCTGTGTGTGTGTGACCTGTGTGTGTGACTTGTGTGTGTGTGTGACCTGTGTGTGTGACCTGTGTGTGTGACCTGTGTGTGTGTGACCTGTGTGTGTGTGACCTGTGTGTGTGTGACTTGTGTGTGTGTGACCTGTGTGTGTGTGACCTGTGTGTGTGACGTGTGTGACCTGTGTGTGTGGCGTGTGTGTGTGACTTGTGTGTGTGTGTGTGACTTGTGTGTGTGTGTGTGTTTGTCTGTGTGTCTGTGTGTTTGTCTGTGTGTCTGTGTATCTTTGTCTGTGTGTGTGTCTGTGGGTGTGTAGTCTGTGTGTGTCACGTGTGTGTGTGTGTGACCTGTGTGTGTGTGTGTGACTTGTGTGTGTGTATGTACACTGTGTGTGTGACCTGTGTGTGTGTGTGACACTGACACTGTGTGTGTGACCTGTGTGTGTGTGACCTGTGTGTGTGACACTGACACTGTGTGTGTGTGTGACCTGTGTGTGTGTGACCTGCGTGTGTGTGAGACACTGACACTGTGTGTGTGTGTGACACTGACACTGTGTATGTGACACTGTGTGTGTGTGACACTGTGTGTGTGACACTGTGTGTGTGTGACACTGACACTGTGTATGTGACACTGTGTGTGTGTGACAGTGTGTGTGAGTGACACTGTGTGTGTGTGACAGTGTGTGTGTGTGTGACACTGACACTGTGTGTGTGACACTGTGTGTGACACTGTGTGTGTGTGACACTGACACTGTGTGTGTGTGTACACTGTGTGTGTGTGACACTGACACTGTGTGTGTGACACTGTGTGTGTGACACTGACACTGTGTATGTGACACTGTGTGTGTGTGACAGTGTGTGTGTAGTCCGGCAAAACAACCCCCTACCTCCTCGCGGTGCCGGACGGGCAACTCTGTCGTGGACAGCGCTGTGGGGGGAGATCCAATTTTGATTGGCTCCTCCCCTCATGGCATATGTATCCACCACAGGGGCTAAACGGGGGCTCTGGACGGGTGCGAGGGGCTGGTAACCCCTCCACCTTCAATTAATTACCACGAAACTACGAATTAAACTTAAATATGTAACAACTAAGCTTGTGCCGGAGGCCCCGGGGGGCCAGGCGTCTATGACGTCTCCTGGCCAAACCCCAATTGGCGGAGCCAGGAGATTGAATACCTACCCTCGGGGCTACTCCAGAAACAACGAAAAGCCACTACGGTTGGCCACGTGGAATGTTCGAACGCTCACTGCCGAGGAGAGGCTGCCACTCCTCTGTCGGGAGCTGGACCGGTACCGCCTGGATCTATGCGGCATTCAGGAGGTCCGGTGGACCGGCTCTGGCTCCTGCCACCATGAGGGGTGGACAGTCCTCTACTCGGGGCAGCAGACTGCCAAACAACAGGGTGTGGGTCTTCTTTTGAACAAAAGAATGAAGGGGGCGTGGGAGCGTGGCGGTGAGGTGTGGGAAGCTGTAAGCCCCAGGCTACTTTGGGCTCGCCTTCCCATCAACAGGAGGCGAGGAATGGTGGTCGTGGTTACTTATGCCCCCACCGAAGATGAACATCCGTGGAGGGATGCAGGCAAAGCCGATGAGTCAGATGCCTTCTATGACCTCCTGTCACAGGTGCTGGCTAAAGTGGCCCCTCGGGATAGAGTCATCATGTTGGGTGACTTCAATGCCCGAGTTGGTCATGATACTGGCACCTGGCCTGGAGTGATTGGAGGGCATGGGCCAGATCAGCTCAATAACAACGGTAGGAGGCTGCTAGATTTTTGTGCAGCCCATGGGCTTGTAATTACCAACACGCTGTTCCGGCATCGGCGCATCCACACAACATCATGGATGCATGCCGGGTCCAAGCAAGAACATCTGCTGGACTACATAGTGACGGACCAGCGAATGCGAGCCCATGTCCTTGACACCAGGACCTACCGTGGAGCTGATCTGCCCTCTGACCATCGACTAGTCATCTGTAAGATGCGCCTGCCATTCTTCCACTCCGGTGGTGGGTGTACACCCAGGACCCCATTCCAACCTAAAGTGGCCTGGTCTCAGTTATCTGATGAAAGTTGCAAGCGAGAATTTCATCATCGCTTGCGGCTGGGATTGGCATCGTCCCCGACTCCTCCTGATGTCGAGGGTAAATGGGCGAGGTTTAGGACTGTGACTCATGCAGCTGCAATGGCTGCTTTGGGTACGCGGTCCAGACCTCCCCAGACACCCTGGATGACAGAGGAGTTGTTCACGATGGTTGAGAAAAAGCGACAGGCCCACTGTCATCGGCTACAGAGTCCCACGTCAGAGAATGAGGAGGCTTACCGCAGCCTTCGCTCGGAGGTTCGGAGAGCCGTGAGGCGCTGCAAGGATGGGTGGTGGTCGCGGGTTGCTGAGGAGATGGAGTCTGCCTCAGTGGCCCGTGATCACAAATCTCTATTTAACTCCATCAAAAAAGTAACCTGCAGCGCCACACCTATTACCATCATTAGGGGAAAAAACGGCGATCCAATTTCCGACCCCCAGGAACAGGTTCGCAGATTTGCTGAGCATTTCTGTGAGGTCCTGGGGGAGGGAAAATCCCTCAGCCAGGAAAACATCGTGGCACAAAGTGAGGATGACCATGCTGAGGCTGCGGTGCCTCAAATATTGGATGAAGTCACCCCCTGTGAGTGGCTGGCTGAGGTGCCATCTGCTGAGGAAGTATTGAAGGCGATTCGGAGTCTGAGACCAGGAAAGGCAGCGGGCAGAGATGATCTTCCAAGCGAAATGCTGAGGGAGGGTGGCGTTTGTGCACAGACTGCCCTATATGACATCATAACAACAGTCTGGACCACTGGACGGGTTCCGCAGGATTGGAAGGATGCCCTGGTGGTCCCCCTTTTTAAGAAGGGGGACCGCACAGACTGTAACAACTACAGGGGCATCTCACTCCTCAGTGTGCCGGGAAAGGTCCTGGCAAGGATTATTCAGCATCGCCTTGCCAGGCACGCTGAGGAGAGGCTTGCGGAGCCCCAATGCGGTTTCAGGAAAGGGCGGTCCTGCACAGATGCCATATTTTCTGTCCGTCTGCTACAGCAGAGGTGTAGGGAATTCCAACAAGACCTACATCTCTGCTTTATTGACCTGGTCAAGGCCTATGATACCATCAGTAGGCCTGGGCTCTGGGTCGTTCTTCGTGCTTTTGGAGTACCTGACCCTCTGCTCACGATCATTAAGGACCTTCATGATGGTGAGCGGGCCCGGGTAAAACTACGTGGCCGGGAGTCAGAGCCATTCCCTGTACACCTTGGGGTGCGACAGGGATGTCCTCTGGCTCCCACATTATTTAACATCTATTTTGACCACGTAGTTCGTGAAGCCTTCAATAGCTGTACCGGGGGAATCTCCATATGGTACAGATATAATGGGAGGCTAATCGATGCCCGGGTGCGGTCAAGGGATGGCTCCCTATTGCTCAACCACGTTATGTATGCTGATGACTTGGTAATAGCTGCTCAGTCAGAGGAGGAGTTGGAGACGCTGCTGCTGAGACTGGAGCGTGCCACTAAGAGGTGGGGCCTTACCATCAGCCCCACCAAAACCAAGCACCTGCCTGGGTATTTTGTACCATCGGACACTCCACCCCCACAACTCCCAATCGGTGATGGGGCAGTTGTGGAGAGAGTGGAGAGTTTCCCATACCTGGGCAGTGTGCTTATGACTGGCACCAGTTTAACAGCAGAGGTTTCACTCCGAATCAGTCGAGCGGCAATATCTTTTCATCGGTTGCGTAACGCTGTGTGGAAGCTACCTGGTCTGTCGCTCCGCACTAAGCTTCAGGTCTTCTCGGCCACGGTCATTCCCTCCCTTCTCTACGCTTGCGAAACGTGGACCCCCCTAATGGAACATCTTCGCCGGTTAGAAACATTTAGGCTGGCCTGCCTACGATCCATCCTGGGTTTAACCAGACTGGATTGTGTGAGGAGCTCACAAATCCTTGAAAGATCTGGGCAGGGTCCCATCGGTGAGCTCCTCCGGCAGGCAAGGCTGCGATGGCTGGGTCATGTAGCCCGCATGCCCAGCCACCGCATGCCGAAACAGCTTTTGTTTGGCCGGATTGAGGGGGCTAAGCGGGCGCGGCACGGGCTAGAGAAGAGATGGAGTGATGTGGTACAGGAGGACGTGGAGCTGAGTGGACTTGCCGATGACTGGTACCAGCGGTGTCAAGATCGGCCTCTGTGGAGGAGGCTCGTGAAGGATGCTACTGGGCAGTTGGAGGCAGTCGCCCTCCAACAACAACGGAGGGCGGAGGAGCGACGCTCACAACAGCGAGCGGAGCGCCGGGTGGCTAAAGCACAGCAGGTTGGCACAGTAGGGGGCACAGGTGGTGCATCAGCCAGTCATCTCAGTCAGTCGACCCGTGGCACCTGGGTCTGCCCCGTGACCTCCTGCCAGCGGGCGTTCGACACTTCACGTGGCCTCAGGGTGCACATAGCCTGGCACAAGCGTCGTGGTGACGTCACCGCCACTTAGTGGCGAATGGCGGTTGTTGTTGTTGTTGTGTGTGACACTGTGTGTGTGACAGTGTGTGTGTGTGTGACACTGACACTGTGTGTGTGACACTGACACTGTGTGTGTGACACTGTGTGTGTGTGTACACTGTGTGTGACACTGTGTGTGTGTGTAAGTGTGTGACACTGTGTGTGTGTGACACTGTGTGTGTGTGACACTGACACTGTGTGTGTGTGTACACTGTGTGTGTGTGACACTGACACTGTGTTTGTGTGTGACACTGTGTGTGTGACACTGACACTGTGTGTGTGTGTGACACTGACACTGTGTGTGTGACACTGTGTGTGTGTGTGACACTGACACTGTGTGTGTGACACTGACACTGTGTGTGTGACACTGACACTGTGTGTGTGTACACTGTGTGTGTGTGACACTGACACTGTGTGTGTGTGACAGTGTGTGTGTGTGTGTGACACTGACACTGTGTGTGTGACACTGACACTGTGTGTGTGTGACAGTGTGTGTGTGTGTGTGACACTGACACTGTGTGTGTGACACTGACACTGTGTGTGTGTACACTGTGTGTGTGTGACACTGACACTGTGTGACACTGACACTGTGTGTGTGTGTGACACTGACACTGTGTGTGTGACACTGACACTGTGTGTGTGTACACTGTGTGTGTGTGACACTGACACTGTGTGACACTGACACTGTGTGTGTGTGACACTGACACTGTGTGTGTGTGACAGTGTGTGTGTGTGTGACACTGACACTGTGTGTGTGACACTGTGTGTGTGTGACACTGACACTGTCTGTGTGACACTGACACTGTGTGTGTGTGACAGTGTGTGTGTGTGACACTGTGTGTGTGTGTGACAGTGTGTGTGTGTGACACTGTGTGTGTGTGACAGTGTGTGTGTGTGACACTGACACTGTGTGTGTGTGACCTGTGTGTGTGTGTGACACTGTGTGTGTGACACTGACACTGTGTGTGTGACACTGACACTGTGTGTGTGTGTGAGACACTGACACTGTGTGTGTGTGAGACACTGACACTGTGTGTGTGTGAGACACTGACACTGTGTGTGTGTGAGACACTGACACTGTGTGTGTGTGAGACACTGACACTGTGTGTGTGTGAGACACTGTGTGTATGTGACACTGTGTGTGTGACAGTGTGTGTGTGTGAGACACTGACACTGTGTGTGTGTGTGAGACACTGACACTGTGTGTGTGTGAGACACTGACACTGTGTGTGTGTGTGAGACACTGACACTGTGTGTGTGTGTGAGACACTGACACTGTGTGTGTGAGACACTGACACTGTGTGTGTGTGAGACACTGACACTGTGTGTGTGACACTGACACTGTGTGTGTGTGACACTGTGTATGTGACCTGTGTGTGTGACACTGTGTGTGTGTGACACTGACACTGTGTGTGTGTGACACTGTGTATGTGACCTGTGTGTGTGACACTGTGTGTGTGTGACACTGTGTGTGTGTGACACTGTGTGTGTGACACTGTGTGTGTGTGACACTGTGTGTGTGTGTATGTACACTGTGTATGTGACACTGTGTGTATGTACACTGTGTATGTGACACTGTGTGTGTGTGTGTGCTGCAGGTGCTGCTGCCCACTGAGCGTGTGGACGAGCTGCTCAGGGACCTGGAAGAGCTCCCGGGACTGGAAGAGGTGAGCACTCGCCCACACGCTCACCCACACCCTCACCCACACGCTCACCCACACGCTCACCCACACGCTCACCCACACGCTCACCCACACGCTCACCCACACGCTCACCCACACGCTCACCCACACCTTCACCCACACGCTCACCCACACGCTCACCCACACGCTCACCCACACACTCACACACACGCTCACCCACACGCTCACCCACACGCTCACCCACACACTCACACACACGCTCACCCACACGCTCACCCACACACACACTCACCCACACACACACTCACCCACACGCTCACCCACACCCTCACCCACACGCTCACCCACACGCTCACCCACACACTCACCCACACACACACTCACCCACACGCTCACCCATGCGCTCAACCACACGCTCACCCACACACTCACCCACACACACGCTCGCCCACATGCTCACCCACGCGCTCAACCACACGCTCACCCACACGCTCGCCCACACGCTCACCCACACGCTCACCCACACGCTCACCCACACGCTCGCCCACACGCTCGCCCACACGCTCGCCCACACGCTCGCCCACACGCTCGCCCACACGCTCGCCCACACGCTCGCCCACACGCTCACCCACACGCTCACCCACACGATCACCCACACACTCAGCCACACACACACTCACCCACACGCTCACCCACACCCTCACCCACACGCTCACCCACACGCTCACCCACACACTCACACACACCCATACACTCGCCCACACGCTCACCCACACGCTCACCCACACCCATACACTCACCCACATGCTCACCCACACGCTCACCCACACACACGCTCACCCACACGCTCACCCACAGCCACACACTCACCCACATGCTCACCCACACGCTCACCCACACATGCGCTCACCCACACGCTCACCCACACATGCGCTCACCCACATGCTCACCCACACGCTCACCCACACGCTCAGACACACGCTCACCCACACGCTCAGACACACACTCACCCACACGCTCGCCAACACGCTCGCTCACACGCCCGCCCACACGCTCACCCACACGCTCACCCACACGCTCGCCAACACGCTCGCCAACACGCTCGCCCACACGCTCACCCACACGCTCACCCACACGCTCACCCACACGCTCACTCACACGCTCACCCACACACTCGACACACACACGCTCACCCACCCACTCACCCACAGACACGCTCACCCACACACTCGCTCGTCCACATACTCGCCCACACGCTCACCCACACGCTCACCCACAGACACCCTCACTCACCCACACGCTCACCCATCCACACACGCTCACCCGCACGCCCACCCACCCACACGCTCACCCACCCACACGCTCACCCACCCACACGCTCACCCACCCACACGCTCACCCACGCACACGCTCACCCACCCACACGCTCACCCACCCACACGCTCGCCTGCCCACACGCTCACCCACCCACACGCTCACCCACACGCTCACCCACCCACACGCTCACCCACCCACACGCTCACCCACACGCCCACCCACCCACACGCTCACCCACCCACACGCTCACCCACCCACACGCTCACCCACCCACACGCTCACCCACCCACACGCTCACCCACCCACACGCTCACCCACAGACACGCTCACCCACCCACACGCTCACCCACCCACATGCTCACCCACCCACACGCTCACCCACAGACACGCTCACCCACCCACACGCTCACCCACCCACACGCTCACCCACACGCTCACCCACCCACACGCTCACCCACGCACACGCTCACCCACCCACACGCTCACCCACCCACACGCTCGCCTGCCCACACGCTCACCCACCCACACGCTCACCCACCCACACGCTCACCCACCCACACACTCACCCACACGCCCACCCACCCACACGCTCACCCACCCACACGCTCACCCACCCACACGCTCACCCACAGACACGCTCACCCACCCACACGCTCACCCACCCACACGCCCACCCACCCACACGCTCACCCACACGCCCACCCACCCACACGCTCACCCACCCACATGCTCACCCACCCAGACAAAGGCGGCCGGACGTGGTGGTGGTGGTGGTGCTGGTGGCCACCCACCCCCTCTGTGTGTGCCACAGTGCCGGTAGCCTTCGTAGACGCTGCTGCTGCTGCTGCTGCTACTAACAGCACTTGCCCCGGCGGTCTGTTGAGGCTACGCGGGGGACCTTTGCCTCTGTCTGTGTGCGTGCAGGTTAATCTCCCGCGTGAGTTCCGGTGGCCAGAGATGAAACTCGCCATCACCATCCTCCCCGACTCGGATTTCGACTCGCACTGACCCGGCCATCGTGAACCCCCCTCGCACGCAGAGACACACACAGAGAGAGAGAGAGAGAGACACTCACAGACAGACACAGACAGGCACACTCAGACACACTCACAGACAGACACAGAGAGAGAGAGAGACACTCACAGACAGACACAGACACACTGACAGGCACACTTAGACAGACAGACAGAGAGAGAGACACTCACAGACAGACACACAGAGAGAGACACTCACAGACAGACACACAGAGAGAGACACTCACAGACAGACACAGACAGGCACACTCAGACACACTCACAGACAGACACAGAGAGAGAGAGACACTCACAGACAGACACAGAGAGAGAGAGACACTCACAGACAGACTCACAGACAGACACAGAGAGAGAGAGACACTCACAGACACACTCACAGACAGACACAGACACACTGACAGGCACACTCAGACACACTCACAGACAGACAGAGAGAGAGAGAGAGACACTCACAGACAGACACAGACACACTGACAGGCACACTCAGACAGACACACTCACAGAGAGAGACACTCACAGACAGACACAGACACACTGACAAGCACACTCAGACACACAGACAGACACTGAGAGAGAGACACTCACAGACAGATACAGAGAGAGAGAGAGACACTCACAGACAGAGAGAGAGACACACAGACACACTCACAGACAGACACAGAGAGAGACACTCACAGACAGACACAGACACACTGACAGACAGACAGACACACTGACAGGCACACTCAGACACACTCATAGACAGACACAGAGAGAGAGACAGAGACACTCACAGACAGACACAGACACACTGACAGGCACACTCAGACAGACACACAGACAGACACACTCACAGAGAGAGACACTCACAGACAGACACAGACACACTGACAGGCACACTCAGACAGACACACTCACAGAGAGACACTCACAGACAGACACAGAGAGAGAGACACTCACAGACAGAGAGAGAGAGACACACAGACACACTCACAGACAGACACAGAGAGAGAGAGAGAGACACTCACAGACAGACACAGACACACTGACAGACAGACACAGACACACTGACAGGCACACTCAGACACACTCACAGACAGACACAGAGAGACACAGAGAGAGAGACACTCAGACACAATCACAGACAGACACAGAGAGAGAGAGAGACACTCACTGACAGACACAGAGAGAGAGACACTCACAGACAGACACAGAGAGAGAGACACTCACAGACAGACACAGAGAGAGAGAGAGAGACACTCAGACACACTCACAGACAGACACAGAGAGAGAGACACACTCAGACACACTCAGACAGACACAGAGAGAGAGACACTCGCAGACAGACACAGAGACACTCACAGACAGACACAGAGAGAGACACACACTCAGACACACAGACAGACACAGAGAGAGAAACACACTGAGACACACTCAGACACACTCACAGACAGACACACTTGCAGACAGACGCAGAGAGAGACACTCACAGATAGACAGAGAGAGAGAGACACTCAGACACACTCAGACACACTGAGACAGACACACAGACAGACACAGAGAGAGACACACTCGCAGACAGACACAGAGAGAGAGACACTCACAGACAGACACAGAGAGAGAGAGACACACAGACAGACAGAAAGAGAGACACTCACTGACAGACACAGAGAGAGAGACACTCACAGACAGACAGAGAGAGACACTCAGACACACTCACAGATAGACACAGAGAGAGACACTCACAGACAGACAGAGAGAGACACTCACAGACAGACACAGAGAGAGAGAGACACTCACAGACAGACACAGAGAGAGAGACACAGACACTCGCAGACAGAAACAGAGAGAGAGACACACTCACAGACACTCACAGACAGACACATACTCACAGACACTGACATACACACAGACACACTCACAGACACTCACAGACACACTCACAGACACACACAGATACTCACTAACACCCCCTCGCATGCAGAGACACACAGAGAGAGACACAGACAGACACTCACAGACACACTCACAGACACACTCACAGACACACACTCACAGACACACACTCACAGACACACACTCACAGACACACACTCACAGACACACACTCACAGACACACTCACAGACACACACTCACAGACACACACTCACAGACACACACTCACAGACACACACTCACAGACACACACTCACAGACACTCGGACAGATGCACTTACAGACACAGAGACTCACAGACAGACACAGAGACCCAGACCCAGGGCTTGAACCCTGACCCCAGGGTCTCAGTGTCTCCCACACGGCCACTGTGAACCCCCTGAGAGAGAGAGACACCCAGACCCAGGGCTTGAACCCTGACCCCAGGGTCTCAGCGTCTCCCACACGGCCACTGTGAACCCCCTGAGAGAGAGAGAGACACCCAGACCCAGGGCTTGAACCCTGACCCCAGGGTCTCAGCGTCTCCCACACGGCCACTGTGAACCCCCTCCCCTTAACCAGTCTCAAGACATTCCTCGGGCCTCGTTCAGCCCGAACGCACCCATCCCCAATACGGGGGGGAGCCATCTCCCGTGGCCATGTGGGGGTGGGGGTGTGTGGGGGTGGGGGTGTGGTGGGGGGTGTGGGGGGTGGTGAGCCGGTGGACCGTCGGCCACCCCCTCCATCCGCCAGGACTCCTCACCGGTCTCCATGGGTGAGGAGTCCCGGCGGTGGTGGTGGTGGTGGCGGTAGTGGAGGGGGGGGGGGTGGGGGTGGTGGGGGCGGTAGTGGAGGGGGTGGTGGTGGTGGTGGTGGTGGCGGTAGTGGAGGGGGTGGTGGTGGTGGTGGAGGGGGTGGTGGTGGTGGTGGCGGTGGCGGAGGTGGTGGAGGTGGTGGTGGTGGCGGTGGTGGTGGTGGTGGTGGTGGTGGAGGCGGTGGTGGTGGTGGTGGTGGTGGCGGTGGTGGCGCCCTTCAAAGTTTTGTGTTGTGAGACCCTCCGCCACCGGGCTCCGTCAAAACCCGTTGTGTTTGTCGGTGGTGGTGGTGGTGGTGGTTGTCGGATCGCTCACCCGGTGAGGGTGAGAATTCTCAACCCGCCCCGCCCACTCATCCAGGCGCCCGCCCGATCGCTCGCCCATCCACTCACCCACTCGCCCATCCACTCACTCACCCATCCACTCACTCGCCCATCCACTCAGCAACTTGTTCACCAATCCACTCACCCAATCGCTCGCCCACCCAATCACTCGCCCACCTAATCACTCGCCCATCCACTCACCCATTCACTCAGCAACTCGTTCACCAATCCGCTCGCCCACCTAATCACTCGCCCATCTACTCACCCACTCACCCGTACACTCACCCACTCGCTCACCCACCTAATCACTCGCCCATCCACTCACCCACTCGCTCTCCAACTCGCCCACCTAGTCACCCGCCCACTCACCCGCCCATTCGCTCACCAACTCGCCCGTACACTCACCCACTCGCTCACCCACCTAATCACTCGCCCATCCACTCACCCACTCGCTCACCAACTCGCTCAAGAGAGGACGGCACAGCAACAGTGTGGACTAATCTCCATCTGTTCCATCTCTCGCTCCCTCCTGACCCGTGCGTTGGGGCGTCGAATGAGGATTCGCGACCCCGCGCCCCCCTGGCTCCCGTTTTGTCTGGGATTGAGCGTTGCTCCCTTTTCTCGCGTGGGGTTGTTAAGAACATTCATCCGCGCGAACCCTTTCCCGATTTGGCGATGAGCGGTGGGTGACCTCTCAAAACAAAAACAAAAAGACCCTTTTGGAGTTCCTCTGGCCACAGTTTGTAACGCCTCAACGTGGGCCTCTTATTGTGCTACACCTGGTAGAATAAAGACAAATCGTTTCTAGTGCTTGCCGTTTGCCGCTTGTATCGATTACGTTCACGCGGAGGGAAGCCGGTCGGCATCGAGGGGTTGCGGGCAGGGGGGGGTTGGGGCGTGGGGGAGGTTTTCGGGAGCCCACAAAGCTTCTTTCGAGGTCCAGAAATCACGTCGGAGGGATCACTTTTAACGGTTTATAAATTATGTGTTCAAAATGTAATAGCCGTGCTAGATCCACGCATGAACACAGACAGAGGCGTTCGAAATATAGCCATGCTAGATACACGCATGAACACACAGGTCATCAAAACGTCATAGCCATGCTAGATCCACGCATGAACACAAAATATAACCATGCTAGATCCACGCATGAACACACAGGCGTTCAAAATATAGCCATGCTAGATCCACTCATGAACACATTCAGAGGCCTTCAAAATATAGCCATGCCAGATCCACTCATGAACACATTCAGAGGCCTTCAAAATATAGCCATGCGAGATCCACGCATGAACACAAAATATCAGCCATGCTAGATCTACGCACGAACACAGGCGTTCAAAATATAGCCATGCTTGATCCATGCATGAACACAGACAGAGGTCTTCAAAATATAGCCATGCTTGATCCACGCATGAACACACACAGGCGTTCAAAATATAGCCATGCTTGATCCACGCATGAACACACGGAGGTGTTCAAAATACAGCCATGCTAGATCAACGCATGAACACAACATATGGCCATGCTAGATCCAAGCATGAACACACAGAGGTCATCAAAATATAGCCATGCTAGATACACGCATGAACACACAGACAGGCGTTCAAAATATAGCCATGCTAGATCTACGCATGAACACAGGCGTTCAAAATATAGCCATGCTAGATCCACTCATGAACACATTCAGAGGCCTTCAAAATATAGCCATGCCAGATCCACGCATGAACACACAGGCGTTCAAAATATAGCCATGCTAGATCCACGCATGAACACAGGCGTTCAAAATATAGTCATGCTCGATCCACGCATGAACACAGACAGAGGTCTTCGAAATATAGCCATGCTTGATCCACGCATGAACACACGGAGGTGTTCAAAATATCATAGCCATGCTAGATCCACGCATGAACATAGGCGTTCAAAATATATCCATGTTAGATCAACGCATGAACACAACATATGGCCATGCTAGATCAACGCATGAACACAGACAGAGGTC